AGAGAGAGAGAGAGAGAGAGAGAGAGAGAGAGAGAGAGAGAGAGAGAGAGAGAAAGAGGGAAAAATGGGGTGTGTTGTGATGGTGTTTCTCTTCTATTCTTCTCAGCAATTTTGGTATTTGGCGCAAGTCGCCCTTGTTCTTTTGGATCGGCATCTCAGATCTTTTCTTTGTTTCTTCTCAGAGACTGATGTGTGATTGTCTCCCCCGCTTCCCTTATCTTTCTGTTTGAATCGACAATCCGATTGGTTGGTCACTAGTGATCGAATTTTGTGTGATCCCCGGGCCAATGACCAAAGAATTGATGCATGAAGATTGTCGACTTCTTTTTGTTATGAGTATGCTGTCTGAAGTTGGATGCATAGATGTTTGGTGTGTTCCCATCTGCGTACAAATTAGATGAGCATGCTAGATGATTAGATGTCTGTCCCCCTATAGGATTACCCACCTTATGAGTTGCGGGCCTTCATCCACCTGACCGAAGGACAGGTCTTGTGCACGCACGTGTAAGCCGACCGAGGAAGGCTGCTACTTACACGTTTGTTTGCAAAACGTGTACTCGGCCTAACTTCCCGAAGGTCTGAATTCCTGCCCCACCCTGCAATATGAATATTGAAGTCCCCTTTCATATCACTGATCGTGAGTGCCTGAAGGATCGGGAATTCCGAGAATATTAGGAACACTCTTGTTTGTCGGCACGATCAAGGGCGGAACCTTCGGAATTTCCCTACTTAACCGGGAACGAGCATATTTGCGAGTGGGATGTTGATCAGGCCTTGGGACGTATCCCTTATCTCCCCAACTGTCCTAGCTCACACACGTGTCACGTCGTCGCGGAACCCGGAATCATTATCCTGGGGACCGAATTCCCTCCCTATCACCGTATCCTGCCCTTCCACTCCCCGACCATCATCCCCTGGCGCGCAATCACTCCCTACTGGCCCCAACCTCCGTGCTCAGAGTGCCTGCAGAACCACGACTATCGAGCCTTCGGCTTCATTCAGCGAACTCGCTCGGAGGAAGAACGGCGGGCGCACAACCTTCAGCTAAGGTTGACCGTGTAGGATTCCGAGACTTGCGACATTCGACGTCGGCAAGTGGCCAGCCAACGAGATAACCATAGCGTCCTAACGTTGCACCAGATACGAGTCCGATGACGGAACCAACGCAGGCGGTAGCTCTGCTTTCCGAAGCATAAAACATGACTTCGATTTGTGCCTACCCCCTCGCATTCGTATCCCTGAAACTCGCCACCGGAGATCTCAGTTCTGACCTGGGACTCCACCCCCACTTTCCTAAAATCCTTGGCACACCCCCTTTTCACACTTTCAGGCCCACTCCCACTCCGATCAGGAAGTCACGCCGGGCGTGAGGTTGGGCGTCACAACTAGTATCCTCGCAGGGGGATGGTTGATCTGTCCTGCAATCCTAGCCTCCGAACCGTTGCAGATCAACCAAGGAGAGGTCATGTGGAGAGAATAGGTCAGGAAGGCCGGAGTGTAGTCGTCCTGTTGGCTATGTATCACCTGCGGCCGCGGCCGTGGGTTCAAACTCGGAGGGCGGCCCTGATCACGGCCGCTACGGCTCCGGCCGCGGCTGGGTGCGGCCACGACTTTCATGAATGTTTTTAGAATTACAAAATTCTCAAAAAAACAAACAAAAAATATGGTGTTGTAGATCTTTTCGATATCTAAATTGCGCATTTTTTTATTGTACTTTTTTGACTTCGTCTTTGAATTTAAAAAATTCAAAAATGAATTTTCTTGAGGCAAAAGCTGTTTTTTTTACTTCGTCTTTGAGTTAAAAATTTTCAAAAACTATGGAACTTATGTGTTTTTTAATTTTAAATTCATTAAAGTTTTTGGATACGACCACAAGGGTCTCGTCCCACTACGTCCGATTTACGCTTGTGCTCCTCCGTTTTGATCACGTGCAATCGTCCGTGGCATTTGTGAGTCGTTGATCCACTAGCATATCGACTGCTAGTGTCGATTGTCTTTGTTTTCGTGGAGGCAGCTACCCATGGCCCAGTAAATTTTTTTAAAATTAATTTGTTGGCCATTTAGTTCGCCACTTTGCGTTGGTGCGAAGCTTCAATACTATGGTTTTTTTTTTGGGGGGGGGGGTGTTTTTGAAGCTTCGTGCCTTGGTATTTTTTTTTGCAGAAATTGAGAATATTGAGATTTCCGTGGAAGACTGCGAACAGACCGGTGGGAAGCTCGCATGCAGATGTACTGGGTTGGTGGAAGTGTGGATGCATAGGGTGTTTTGTCATAATTTCGATGCCAGCTCCCATGATTTTTCGTTCTTTGGGTCCTTTTCTTTGCTACTGCCTTAATGAAAATAACATTTTTAATGCGATTTTAAATGAGAAAAGAACGCCACACACCGTTTTAAACGATGCTAGTGGGTCCAGGCCCCAAGGGAAACGTTGTTCAGTATATGTTTCTGCATAACATATTTTTTCTCCAGAAATTTTTGAATTTATTTATTTTTTTTATTATTCTTTTCATGGCCGCAGGGTCGCGGCCTTGGCAGCGCATAGCCACCTCCGAGGGGGATTCATAGCCTGTTGGTGCCCCCCCCCCCCCCCCCCCCCCCC